AATGAACACACTTAGCATATTCACCATTAAAGAATGGGTTCAACTGAATGTGGCCAAGCAGTACTAACTATATAGCATGAGCGGGATACATGGGAACCTGGTTCTTTCTTAGACTGTATAGAATAGTCTGTCTGTACCAGCCTCATACCAAATCCTCTTCACAATGTACATGCAGCTCCATGTGATGTGTCCTGTCTGCATGAAGCATATCGAATACACATCGGTCACACTGTGAAGGATTTATAATCATGACAAACTTCTGAGCAGCAAATCAGGAAGTTTGGTGCTATGGGATACAACATTGTCATTTCTGATTGGTCACTATGGGTTAGTTGCACCATGTCCATGCTGTTTTGCTGCAGCCCCCTCTAACTTATTTTGGTTCCTGCCCCTTCCCCTTCCTCCCACAGATTGAGTCCCACAAACTGAATTTCCGGGAGAACGCAAAAGCCAAGACGGACCACGGCGCAGAGATCGTGTACAAGTCTCCCAACCCATCCGGGGAAACCTCCCCTCGCCGTCTCAGCAACGTCTCCTCTTCCGGCAGCATAAACATGTCCGACTCCCCGCAACTGTCCACGCTGGCCGACCAAGTCTCCGCTTCCCTGGCCAAACAAGGCTTGTGATGTGTCCCTTCCCCAGCAGAAGAAGACCATCTCCACCCCACTTACTAGTAGCAGAGGGGAGAAAACTCATAGGTGTATATTCTTTTCATTGCTCCGGAGGCAAAGAAGCTATTCAATAATGTTTATGTATATTTTGCTTTGCGTTATTAAAGGGGTGTTGTAGGAGAGTGCTGTTCCTAAGTGCCCGCTTGCATCATCGGTACAGTCTGTGTCTGAATCTCACCACTAGAAGGAGCAGGATATGGCACCGGTCCTACACCACTTCCTGTTCCCAGCCTAGGGTGGTCATGTGCACTGTGCAGGCTCGGAGGGCTTCCTTAAGTCAGCATCTGCTCAGTTTAACACCTTTTTGTTTTTTTAATTAATCTGCTAGAATTAAGATTGTAATGGATTGATCTGAAAGCTGTCGCATGTTTTCCAGACGGAGACACAAAATATTAGCTTGGGCCCACCTGGCACTGCAAGTTTATATCCATTGTAGACGCATGTTGATAATTTTCATTGTAACCCGCGCCCGCCAATGATAACGGCACGCACACGCTCATCTACCCCTGTTTTGCCATAGAAAAAACTGGCAGACTTTTTTGCAGAGATCCTTAGCTTATTCCATCTCTGACCTCACTACGCTCAATGAACAAAAGGGGATTGCAGAAATTGCAGTACCCCTCCCCCTGTGTCTGTGGCTGTCCAAATTCTGTGTCGTGTCTGACCAGCTGGTTCACACGGTCTGTTGCTGTAAAAGTGGATTTGGAAATAAAGTTATTAATACAAAATATTAGGGGCTCCGGGATTTCAGTTTGTTACCTACGCAGAGGGAGAAATCATCAAATCTGTGGGTACATCGGACGGTGGCTGCTGAGCTCACTTACGTGTTGCCGGCCAGTGGACAGTGTTGTCACCTGGACTCTGCAGTTGGCAGCATAGCTGGGTCTCAACAGTGTTTGGAGAGTGGTTCCCACGAGCTCACGTCTCTACACAAAACTACAAGCTGGCAGAAAGAGGTCACCAGCACCAAAAACTGGATTTAGACCAAGATCAGAGGAAAAACAGGAGTCTTCTTGTCTTGATACCGAAAAACCGGTGTCAGTGCATCCCTATCAAGTATGAGTACTGATATTTATATTTCCGTACTCGCAGATACTGTACCTGTACTTCCACTAGCATTGAGCCGGCTGTTTAGCCAATCAGGAAGCCGGGAGGCAGGTCATTATCCGCCGCCCAGCTTCCTGATTAGTTGGGAAGCCAATTCCATGCTGATGGGCTGGGAAGTTGGCTTCCTGGCCAATCAGGGAGGCGAGTCATAACATATTGGCTCCATGTTCCCTCACAGCACTGCTGGTTAGAGGAAACCTCCCTCTAACCAGAAGCTCCGGTATCAGAGCCGTACGAGTACTCGTCCAGATACTCAGAATCGGCACCAATACTAGTAACAGTATTTCCTTAATTATAGATATAGAGTGGGAGTGGCTAAGAACACTGGGCCTGAAAAATCACAACTCAACAAATTGGTGTTCCCACATTACCAGGACAACAATAATAAGGAACACCACCATATGTAAGTCACAGGTCTGAGGGTATATAGACTAAACCATCAACACACATGGCAATGACCACAACACGTTTACCTTCCTGACCCCAGTCTGTGACAGTTCTCATTCATCCTGGTCATGGTATGTCTAAAGAATAAATCAAAGCAACTGGACTTGCTGTATTCGTCTTGGACGTTTCACTGGTCATTCATTCTCAATTGATAAAACTAGTCATTTTGAATTGGGAAAGCCGGTTGGATGACCAGTGAAACGTCTTCAAGAAAAAAAAAAAGTCCAGTTGCCTTGACTTATTTTTTACAGACCTCCTGGCCCAGCTTGTTCTTTTTTTCTCCCATTGCAGCTTCATACGTCATATGAAGGTGTATGGTGTTCACTCTATAACACTTCCTGACAATACAAAAACAATGACACGGAATGCTGGGAGTGCCTGGACCATCTGATGCCGAATTCCATATATCAGGAAAAAATAAATGTTACTTACAGATCCAATTGGATGGCAGGGGATGCTGGGCCTTGTGGTCCTCCAGAGACTACAGGCTGACAATAATTGATCTAGCATCTCCGGGATATATAAAGGAGTTAAACGCACACAGTAAAGACCTCCATATGGACAGCTTCGTTCATCTCCAGTAGCGATGAGGTCACCACTTCTCGGTCATCTGATCCACCACAATTCTTCCATACACAATGCATGGGAAAGGTCAAAGGTTACACAGCAAATGGATAAGCTATAGACTTGGGAATAGTCGAAGAGGACATGCCTGCAGTCAATAAGTCTGACAACATATAGAATACTTGCAGTATCTGTGCCTGTATGCTATCCGGGGTCACACAAGAAACACAACCTCTCCTACATCACTGACCGGTAAGGAATAAGCATTCACAGATCAACAAAAGAAAGCCACCGGCACACTGCATGGATGAGAATGGCATTCTGCTTTATATGCAGGACCGCATTTCAGCTGTACTGGAAGGAGAGAGGGGTTTACAGTTTTTGAAATGTAAAGACTCTTATGAGCACTCAACACCCTCTGCACATCCTTTCCCCTATAGTTCTCCAGCCAGAAGCAGGAAACAAAACAATGAAAAAAGTAACGACCATTTGTAAACCTTCTGCCTCGGTGCTCTGACCCTGCTGCCTCAGGCCCCGGCCAATTATCACTATTGTGGTTCATAGCGCCCCATCTGAACAGGTAGGTTGTGTGTCCCTATAATAAGCGGCAATCCCTATAATAAAAGACAGCATGGGGTGGTTGCCTCAGGCAGCATGTCATTGGGTCACATTGGGGGAGGAGTAAGGCCAGAATGTCCCAGGTTTACCAAGCGCTTTTAGCAACCTGTGACGGGGGTGCCGCCCCACTCTCGGATGTCACTGGTTGCCAGGAGCTGAGGGGGACGCTATGACTGGTGTCCTGCCCAGCTCCTGGCAATCAGTGGGCGGTGAGCCCGAGTCCCCCCACCTCAGGTGGCAAAAAAAAAAAGTGTAGAGGCACCCCTACCCCAGGCCTGCAAGCATTTCAAAGTTTAGATTTCAGCTAGTCAAAGTATTGATACAATTTCTGATTTATGCACAGACTGAAAAGGAGTTATGCTTTATAGAAAAGGGTTCCCCAACACCACTACACATGTCTCACAGGTACCAACCCCCCACCCCAGAGATGCATCAAGACAGAAGCTGCCACCTACAAATTAAATGGCATTAGCATTCTTAAGAAAAAGAAATGGCGCCACCTAAGAATGCTAATGGTGAATTCTGAATAGTTGACATCGTGCCTCAAGAAAAAGAAATTGCGCCACCTGAGGCACGATGTCAACTATTCAGAATTCACCATTATGCCCCCTCACTGGTATAATATCAGCTGCTATGGATAACCAGGCCTTATACATGACTTTAACATACAAAAATATTTCAGCTCGTGCAGGAAGGTTCTCATGATATGAACAGAACTATGCAACCACATATCTCCGGACAAAAGGGGCCACCAATCTTAGAATGACAGAGCTGAACCTCTCCCTGTGGGAGAGTACGGGAATAATGACCTAATTCCATAGCCAGCAATGGGGGACTTGTATAGAAGACCCACCACATACACTGGCCAACAAAAGCTGGAGCTGATTTATTAAACTACAGACAAAAACACAATTCGTGAATAAAATACAGAAAATCAAAAGCTACTTACCCGTGCCTGGACGGTGGTGTTGGCTTTTCTGCTGGGCATTGCATCCAATTATCCAAACATATAGCAGCCCACTATGGCTCCAAATGCCAGCTTGATTCTACAGTATCTGATCAGCAGCATGTTAGTTATTGCAGGCTGTGTGATCAGAGCCACAAGCAGACCCATCCAAACTCATTGATGGCAATACACCACTGGAAGGGTCAGTTTCAAACTTCAGCAGTGCAATTCCTATAGCTGCCATTCCAACGAGATAATACAACAGGGGCAGGCGGCCTCACCACTCTGGCTGTTGTGGAACAAGTCACATGATGTATTTCAAGACTTAGCCACAAGCATGACTCCCAGAGGAGACCTCACCACAGTAGGAGTGCAGATGTTACCTACTGCCCCTGGTTTATAGCATTTTAGTGTAATGTATTACCGAACACAAGTGCAAGAAAAAAGGAGAGCAAACACAAATAAATCCACACATTAAAAAAGGTAGCCACACCACCTTATATTAGTGCAGACACCACACAAAAATGTTCATTGATTAAACTACATACAAATAATAGAAAAAAACCAATCCAAACCGGATAAGATAGAAACATCAAACTAGGGAAATCACCAAGTACCTGGTAGCTGAGACCTGGGACAAGGAAATAGAAGCCCCAATCATGTGGCAATGGACATACCATTCCGATTTATATTGCTTTTGATGCTGTAACAGATCATGAAGTAAGGACATGTTAGTGATACCAATCAAATGGGTAAGCACATGGCGGCGGCCATATTTATGTATCACAAATGCAGTCTGTGCTTCCTGCTTAGCAGTGTTTGTGTCTGAGGCTACTCACAGTCCAGGGGTGGGCAACTACAGACCCCCATCTGTGGTGGAACTACAACTCCTATGAGGAATTGCAAGACTGACAGTTACAGGCAAGCCTTCCAGAGGCATGTTGGGACTTGTAGTTAAAGCACAGCTAGAGTGCTGGAATTGCCCCCTCCCCCTTGTCATAGACAAAAGACTACGCTTGCCCCTCCTCCATGTGAAAAGACCCTTGGCCAAGAAAAACAAAAAATGTCCATCTACCAAAAGCACTGTTCATTCACAATACACACTTGCAATGGTGTCTGATGACACCCGTGATCAAATTCATATTTCAGGATGCGTATGCTTATGGATGACGATTGGTCATCACAAGACATGAGGAAGACTGTCTGAAAAAGACCAAAAATCCCAGCAATGTCTGTCCATTACCAAGCTTTTTAGGGTCTAGTACTTCCCATATTTTACTCAAAATTAGCATTTCTTCAAGGATAAGCACACTTTTAAACAAAAACACACTGATCCTTTTTGTCCCCTCCCCTGGCCTAAATAATCCCACCTCTGCACATCTGTACTTACCGAGATCACATGGGCAAGGCTCTTATTATTTACAT